AACACCAGCTCCCATACTTTATGTAAGCTTTCCCAATGCTTGAGCCATCTAAATCTGTTGGAACTCTAATAATTCCTTCATCATCGTCGGAGCCGAAGAAGTGTCGTGCAAGCATGGTTCTTATCTCCTCAACATGGAGAGATGAATCAAAGCCCTCAACGCATACAGAAGTTCCAGGCCTTGCCCAAGGCAATGGCGAATCTCTGTCAAGGACATACTTGTCATTGCTAAAGAATGTGATGTTGAGTGGGCAATCTCTCAGCCAACAACTGTGCGGAATCAACAAGCACAGAGGACTCGGTTGGCTAGTTCCGACTGAGTTCGGGCAGCCCACCCGCGTTCGAGCGCTGGCCGGCGCAGGTGCCTCACTCGGGAACAGTTGTTTCCAAAAATAATTTTCAATCGGACTGTAGTAAACAGCAACGATTCCACTGACTCCCTCGAAGATGCTTCTCAGCTCCACACAGTCGACATGGGGGTGCACGTTCCAGATCATGATCGTGGTGGCCGTTTCTGAAGATTCGCTATGGACAGAAGTATTTCTCGACTTGTTTGGCTCCCGTTCCTCTCGCGGGTAATGATGATGAAGAGGGGGGTCGTGGTCGTGGCGTGGCTCAAGAGGAGGAAGACGCAGCCGGATCCAACTCCCAGTCCGGTAAAGCCCGAGGTACTGCAGGTGCACGAGCACGACACCCCGCGCCGAAATCCCTCATCTCCTCTAAGGTGATAGTACGGTGGACGACCTTCCCATCGCGTAACCGGAGTCTTCCCGGTATACCTTGCTGTGGGGCTAACATCGCTGGCCGAAAGAAGCGGGCGGCGGAACCTAGGTTCGTTTTTTTTTAACGGAACCTTAGGTTCGTTGTAAACTTGTAATTACGCCTGATTTGGCCGAGAGGTCGCGGGCTACTCGGGCTATATTTCGCCGTTAGAGGTCGGTTGGTGCGTTGTGCCTTCCGGCCCAAAAAAACTAGCTACGTTAATTCTTCCTTGAGTTGTCGTGGATTGTTGTCCGCGGGTGCTGCATGCACGTACCAGGCGGGGACCGCCCGCGTCGCTTCCCGCGCTTCCCATCCGCTTGCAGCCGCGCAACGCTCTATCTGCTTTCCACACGGCGCCCTACCAGCTGCATCAGGCGTATGAGGCAGTACAACATCCGATCTAGTTTTGAAACATCTAGATAAAATATTTACAACATGTGTATGAAAGACAGATAAAACATTTGAAACATGCGTCTGAAACACTTGCAAAAACACTTAAGAAGCCATTGCAAAACATATCAACGTCGAGATAAAAACACTTCGCAACATGTGCGAAACATATGCAAATATCCAAATAAAAACACTCTGGAAATATATATGAAACATTGGGAACAGAAGGTTGCTACATACGTGTACAACTATTGCAACACATACAACATCCCGATCTACTTTTGCAACATCCATATGTAACACTTGCAACATACCTATGAAACATCTTAAACACTTAAAACATAAGGCTTGGAACATGCGTTTTTCACCCTTCCATATGACGCAATGCAGAGCGGGAGAACATGTCCTTTCCCGGTGGCTGAGGATGGTGGTGCGGCCTGGCAGCAGGCAGCTACGCCTGCGCCTAGCCTAGGCCCGGCCAACGACGCCCCCCTCTCCTGGCTGCCTGGCCTGGGTGCGGCGGAAGGACGAGCACGGCATTGGCGCGGCGGGACGGAGGTGTCGCGGGGGATGGAGCGCCGCAGGGATGGCAACGGCGGCGCATAGTGGGCCGTGCCACGAGATGGTCGCACCGCAGGGGATGGCGACGGCAGCACAATAAAGCGGGGCGGGCGGACAACCGCACGACGAACGAGCGCGGAGTGAGGAGACAAGTGTGCCGTGGGGTGAGACGGACAGACGCCCGAGCGTGAGCATTAGCGCATAAGTTTCCCTTAGCGCCTCCTCCCATAGTACTGAAGGCCAACCTCAAGGTTGTGTCACCAAAAAATAAAAAGGGATGTCAATGCTTGTTATCCACTTCAGTGGAAAATCGTCGATGCGCAAATGCCAATACTATTACCTATATATATAGATGGGTAACAAGACCAAATTGCTTGATACAAAGCAGTTATTTTGAATACAGAGGACTATCTAATCTAATCTGCTTATCAAAGCTTTTTTCAGAAAACTTGCGACCTCTAGAAGTGTGCGTGACAACTTGTGCTAGATGACAGTATGTGTTACTTAACTTGCCGCTACCAATTTTTGGTGCTTCAACATTGGTTGAGGGGTTGCCTGACTAGAGGATGCTTTTGAAGGCTCAGCAGAGCTGCCTTTATCGACGATACAGCAACTGATTGGCTTCTGAATCTTGCCAAATGACACGGTTTGATGAGAGTATATCTCGACGAACCTGCAGACATAAAGTACAATATGTTTTCAGTGGTTAGAAGTTGAGGTACACAAGGGTTCAGAATAATCGCATAACAAATTATGAATGCATGGTTCTCAGAAACATATCTAAGTGAGATTTACAACAATTCAATGGAAAGGCATACAGCAAGTAACATAACCATGCAGCATTGATGTAACCTATGTTAAGTGTGACATACCAAATGGGTAAACAGAAGATAATGAGGAAGGGACCTGGTCTTGAATCTAAAATGGATGATAGGGCTAAAATAAGAAAAAATAACCTGGAAAATCATCTGAGAGAAGAGAGACAGAGAAGGCTTCAATGCTCTCAAGTATCAAATCGACATGGCTAAATAATTAGGAATAAGACAGGATATTACTCGTAGGGATACGTATAGCCTACTGTAAAGAAACTAAACTTCCCTGCCCACTGAATTGATATAGCAATTCACTGTTTGTGAATGATTCAGCATTGTTTCCAGTGGCCTATGGCTACAGGTCCAATCACGGGGCTTCATCAAGGCCAGTGTACTTTTAATAATAGCTTCTACTGTGCACTGTAGGCTTTTCAGATTTACAAATAGTTGATATTTATACTCCTACAAACACTAACACTGAGAACATATTCTGCATAATTCGGTCATTATGGTAGCTTGTAATCAAGTGTCCAAGGAGAAACAGTGTATCCCTTTCATCCCTTAAGAACATTAGCACGCTGGTGTTAGTTTAGCAAAAAAGAGCTAAACAACATGTAATTGGGTTCAAGCATACTCCATGTTTATATTTTGCCTGCGACAGAAAATTTTAGCTAGATTGGGTTCCTAGCTCAGCAGCTTCTGACAGAATCACAAAACAGAGGAAGAAAGGTGCACTGGATATCTGTGTCATAGAATACTGTGATGAGGTTGATGTTTCAAGAATGCTAAAAGCAATGTACCATCACAGCAGACTTAGCAGAAACAGAACTGAAGTCAGAATCAACTTTTACATAAAATGGCATAATGGGTGCAAAGCACATAATGGTTTCTCTACAAATCTATGGATTGAGTAGATGGAATTCCAGGCAGTAGGGCACGAAGAATCTAGCATTTCATATTTTTGCCAGAGTATCCATGGCAGTTGGCCTTAATGTGAGTGATCAACGTGCTTAAGTTGATCTAATAAGATAACATAGACATTTTTCAGTTAAATTGGCATTTCACTTGCAAATCAGTACCATGAATTCAACATGTGGATGAATGGTTAGGCAACATGACTAGCAGATGGAATCATGCCAAAAATTTCAATATAATAGACACTAGTATGAGTACTTTGTAGTACCTAGTAGAATAAGTAGTGCTTCTCATGCTTGCTAAAGCTAGCGGTTTGAATATCAATGGACTATTTCAAGAAGCCAGGTATGAGTCGTATGACACAGATGTAAACAAAATGAAGAGAAGCAATGAAGGGTGTAATTTGAGCAATATCAGATGAAGGGTATATTCGGCTGAATTTATCCACAGCCGGCGTGGCAACACTGAGCGCCCGAGCGTGGTGACTGCGCCCACGCGGCCAACTAGCCCGAGACCGTGTCGTGCACTAATTTTAAAGCGCTTATAAAAACTAAAGGTTGCTTTTAGACTTAAACCATCTTCACCATGCTCAAGATGGCATATGAGACTACCAAATCGAGCTATAACACTACACTACCTCTTAACTCAATCTCTCAAAATAATTTGCTAAACATAGCAATGTCTAGCTGTTGATAAACTTGAAAATTTTCTAAGTTTTTGAGCTGAAGTTGATTTCAATTTATAATTTTTAGGCTAGTAGAAATATTATCTAGTAATATTATTTTTCGACAGCAAGTATTTCACTGTCATCTACAAAGTTTGTACTTCAAACTTTATTTAAGTATCACACACATGTTCTATAGTATTTTTGTTCAATAAAAATTAGTTTTAAACCCTACTTGACATACATGAACTATTGGATCAACTTTCGTTTAACATTTTTATTAGTCATTTTAAGTTATAAAAAATTTATCTACACATTCTATCACATGCATTAACACATAAACATGATGCTCATGACATATTTTAGTAAATAATTTAGGGTGTAACACCGAGGGTGTTACAGCGCAGCCCCTACCAATTGTTAAGTTTTGTGAAAAAAAAAACTATTTATTTCTTGTAAACCGTAGGGTTTCTTTATGACCCCTACCAATTGTTATTAAGCTAAATACTTTGAAAAAAGTTTCTATTTCTTATAAACCGTAGGGTTCAAAAACTATGTATTTTCATAGTCATATCCCTTTTGACCCTTCAACTATTATGTTGGTCTAATTTTAACCCTTAATTACAAAACCGTCTGGTACCGGTACCCCAACTGTCAAAACCATTCACTTTTAGCACCTGGGCGGGGATAAGACTGTTTTGACCGACGTTGAGTGGTTTTGACGAGCCAGCAGCCAGTAGGAAAGCACCAGGCAAGCAGTGCCACTACACCAGGCAGCAGCAACGCAGCGCATCCACTCATCATCGACTCATCGTCCAAACACCCTCGGCCGCGGGTGGCTACGCTCGCTCCACTGTCCTGCCCCCCGCGCGCACAACACAAGCAATAGCAGCCCTGATGGCCGCCGTCGCCGCCGCATCCTCCGCCACAGCCTGCTTCCTCTCCCCACTCCCGCCGCCACGCCACCCGCGTCATTTCCTCAGGCACCTCACACGCGCCGCGGCCACCAAGCCCACGCCTGCCTCCGCCTCCTCGCTCGCCCTCCCCTCGCCGTGGCCGTGGGCGCGGCTATGGTGGCTCTACAAGCTAGTCCCCGCCGAGGCCACGGGGCGGCTACTGTCGTCAGACATGGGCTCCCTCATTGTGGCGCTCGCCTCTGCATCGCTGGTCCTCGGCGACGCCGGTGCAGCATCCACGTTCATGGTCTCCACGCCCAGGAAGCTACAGGCGAACGAGCTCGCCACCATGCGCCTCTTCTAGGAGAACACGCCCTCCATCGTCTACATCACCAACCTCGCCATCAGGTGGTCCTCCCGTCCTCATCCCAAGGCTCATCTGCCATGGACGCGACAGCTTGCTCGAGCTTGCTTGATAGCTACATGCGTCTCAATCGCGCGCGCTTGTCGGCCATGTCACGGCTGCCTGCTCGTCCGGTGACCCCCGCTCATGAGCCCGATGGGGTCGTGGTGCCTTTACCGCCGAGCATCGAGGCGTGGGAGTTACTGGGGGCCGGCGAGCCCAATAGCGGTAGCGGCGTGGGTGCAAAGCAGTGGGGGCATGCTCGCCCGCTTGGCAGCAGTGCAGCAGCAACACGGCACAAGTGGTGCCACCGCCGGTGCTGGCTACTTTGATCTCCCGCCCGCCGTCGACTCGTCCAGCAGCACGTACGCCCTGAAGCAGCTCCACGGACTCGACACGGGAGCCCAAGTGGATCCAGACTGGCGGTGGCAGCACATCGTCTTCCTCTTCTTCGTCGTCATCCATGGATGGCAGTCGCACTAGGAGCTCCATGGTCAAACCTACCCCACCCACGACGCAAGCGTCCATGGCGGCATCACGAGAGGGAGGAGAGGGAGGTGATGAGTGGGTGACATGTGGGCCCCATATGTCACTGAGATGAGGTTGGCATCCTACATGGTGGTCAACACCAGCGTGTGAAAGCTCTAATTTGGTTTTGGTGAATTGATGAAACCCTAAGTGCTAACCTAGTTTATCAAAGTGTTTATGAGATAGCTAGCAGATTCCAAGTGGCGAAGCAAATGAAGATCATTACATGATGACGGTGATGCCATGGTGATGATCAAGTGCTTGGACTTGAAAAGAAGAAAGAGAAAAACAAAAGGCTCAAGGCAAAGGTATAAGTGGTAGAAGCCATTTTGTTTCGGTGATCAAGACACTTAGCGAGTGTGATCACATTTAGATTCGATAGCCATACTATCAAGAGGGTGAAACTCGTATCGAAATGCAGTTATCAAAGTACCACTAGATGCTCTAACTCATTGCATATGCATTTAGGATCTAGTGGAGTGATAACACCCTTAAAATGTTTATGAAAATATGCTAACACATGTGCATAAGGTGATACACTTGGCGGTTGGCACATTTGAGCAAGGGTTAGAAACTTCATCGGCGGAGTGTCTATCCGTAGAGTGCGGACAGTCCGACGGTGCCACCGACGCCCTGTATAGAAAAGACAGGGTTTCACAGAGTGGACCAGAGGCTAGCCTCAACTAGACCGGCGCGTCCGGTCAATACAAGTAGTGAAGACGCTGGCGTCGGTCTTCGACTGGATGCTGGGTCACTTCATGACCGAACGCTGAGTGGGTGTGTCCGGTCTCGCTGATGTGGCAGCACACAGAGGAGACAGAGTGTGACTGGACACTGGGTGAGTCCGGTCGGGTATGACCGGACGCGTCCGATCACCTCTGGAACCTTACTAGAAACGACCAGGCGCTGGTGTTGGTGCGTCCGGTCACTTCGAGCAGCGCGTCCGATCATCACTTGACTGTTGGGATTGGATGCTCAGTATTTGAAAAGAGGGATGATGTGGCAGCCATCCGTTGACCGGACGCTGGTAGGGTGCATCCGATCGATCTGACCGGAGTGTCCGGTCACCCCGAGTTGTGCCCAGTGAAGGGGTACAATGGCTCTATTTTATGGGGGCTTCTATTTAAGCCCCATGGCCAGCTCAAGCTTACTCTCTTGGCCATTTGTATTGACATAGCAACCTTGTGAGCTTAGCCAAAGCCCTTCCACTCATCTCCATCATAGATTCAACATCTTTGTGAGATTCGAAGTGAATCCAAGTGCATTGCTTGAGTGTTTGCATCTAGAGGCACTTGGTGTTCGTGTTTCGCTGTGGGATTCGCTTCTTACTTTTGGTGGTTGCCGCCACCTAGATGGCTTGGAGCAGCGAAGATCATCGAGCGAAGGTTGGTGATTGTCTCCAGCTCCGATCGTGGTGATTGTGAGGGGTTCTTGACCTTTCCTCGGCGGAGAGCCAAAATGTACTCTAGTGAATTGCTCGTGGCTTGTGTGATCCTCATCTTATGTTGGTTGTGCGGCATCCTATTGAGGGTTTGGCGTGTGATGCCAATTAGCGCGTAAACCTCCAAGTGAGCGAATCGCCACAACGAGGACTAGCTTACCGGCAAGCAAGTGAACCTTGGTAAAAAAATATTGTGTCATCATTTGATTCCGAGGTGATTGGTCTTCATTAGTATTCATCCTTGTGATTGATTGGTTCACTCCTTGACACGACGGTATAACTATCTTGCTCTCTCTCTTTACAATACTGTAAACTAGTTGTCAAGCTCTTTAGTGTAGCTAGTTGTGAGAGCTTGTTAGTTTGGTTAGTGTGGCTCTTTAGTTAGCATTTAAGAGCACACTAACTTAGTGTAGTGACATAGCTATAGTGTGGATAGAAACTATATATAAACTAAAATTGTGGTAGGTGACTTGCAATTTTAGTAGGCTAGTTCAACACTTGCTTCGCCTCATAATTGTCTAACCGGTTTGCTAAGTGTTGTTGTAGAAATTTTTAATAGGCTATTCACCCCCTCTAGCCATTAGAACCTTTCAGCGTGGCGTGGTCAAACCCACTCCACGTAGGACAAAACAGCCCTGCCCACGTCCAGGTGCTAAAAATGAACGGTTTTGACAGTTAGGGTATCACCGCCAAACGGTTTTATAGTTGAGGGTTAAAATTAGACGAAACCTATAGTTGAGGGACCAAAAGTGGACTTAATCCTATCCCAGATAATCTCAAAAAAAATATGAGTGATGGTCTCTTTTTTCAATAGCCATATCCCAGGTGATAGCCCCGAAAGATAATCTCTTTTGCCATAAGAACACATGTAAGAATTTCAATTACTTTGAGAGAAATTCTGCTTAATTTATTTTGTGCCTTTGATTCTTCATGAAGGACGATAAAGGTTAGATCCATATGGCTATCTCATTTGTGTATCTATATAAGAGTATATGGTTAGGAAGCTAAAATGCAGTAGCAAGTTTGATGCATGTTTTATTAAAATGACTAGAACCCCGCGAGAATTGAGCCTAGTTCTTCACTAAGCCGTAATAGGCATAGGCCATGAAGGAGCGCTACTGAAGGCGCAGAAACCAACTGTCCCTGCCCTTGATCCACTTGCGTGTTTGCAAAAGAATGGAGAAGATGAACACGAGCGATCCATGAAATGGAAGGGGATAGAAAAACTAGAAAAGGCAGCACAATATATACAGTCAGGACCAGGGACGGATCTAGCAGTGGGGCAGGGGGAGGGGGGCTCAAGCCCCTCTACCGCCATTGATCCCATAGAGCCCCTCCAAGAAGAAATAACATAAAAAAAACAAAGAACAGCAATAGGAAAAAGAAAACATAAAATCGCCCTCGCAATAGCAGCAACACAGTGAAGCATCCACCACTACAAGAAATGTGTGGTTTTTTTACATTCTATTTATGTCAAAATATATGAAATTAGTGTCACAACTTAAGATTTGTGACAAAAAGTTGATGAATATTCGAACATCAAAAAAACACCGACACAAATTGATTGTATGATGTTTGTATATTTAATATCACAAGCTTATGACAATGGATTTTAGTGTCATATAGGTTTATGACTTTGTTTTATTATCACAAAATCCTAGGCCTTGCCACATGAGCAAATACCATGTAGGATCAGAAGACAGGAAAAAATGTCACAAAATGAATTTTGGCCTGCTACAGCCCATGTAGCAGGCAGCCTCTTCATGGATCACGAACTTGTTTTGGGCTAATATTGGCTGGCCCATTATTTTATTTTTGTTTTTTTGGCCCATTTTTTTTAGATTGCAGCTCTCACAATTATTTCAGCACACACAATTTTAGCCACCCCATATTTTTTCGGGCCCACACAAAATAGTCCATATATGTTTTTAGCCATAATTCAGCCCATACATTTTTCTAGCCTACAGAATAATAATGGGCCAAAACCATTTCAAGATAAATATAAAGAATAGAGTTAAAAACACATTTACATTGCTAATGATTTACAAAAAAAAATCCAACAAACCAAAAAAATGGCTGTCACCAACTAACAAAGAAATCACCAACTAAGGCCTCCTTGCGGGATTTTTTTCCCCGGTCTCTTATGTTTTCCCTGTGAACTGATTCCTCTGAAATTCCCACATAAATTTTGTAAAGTTCTTGCGTTCCAAAGAGCCCTAAAAGTTTTTATGCTTCAGCTTGAAGTTTGTGCGGTCGTTTTGTATATAGGGATTATCCTTATCATTCATCAATGTGAGCTTTTCCATTATTTCAAGCCTTGTAAACTCTGTGTAAACCTACTGGAATCTACACTCAAGAGCAGCTTTCAGAAGAGCATCATTCCGGTATTCGTTCATTCATGACAAAATAAAACACTACTACTACATAATGAGCTATCGCAACACCCTTATCACCGTCGGTTATGTTGCGGGTAAAATCTTTGGCGCTGGTTGGGGGGCGGCGGAGGATAGAGGCCAATCAAAGAACATTATTTAGGGGGGGAGGTGGAGGGAATTTTGATAATACAACATTTATTTGAACCTGTATATGGTGTTAATATATTTTTTAAAAACCTTGGAAAATAGAGAAGTTTGAAACTAAACCAAAAGTGAACTACTAAAACGGAGGAAGTACTATATGATTTTTCTCGAACACAAGTACTATATGATTTTTACCATTATTTTGGATACCCCAGTTTGGTATTTAAGCAACAAAGCTGGCCACAAGAAGTATACTCTAAAAATGACGTACAGAGTATACTCTAAAAATGATGCTCATTTACTATTCATTATTATTGGTCCACCTTTGACATTAGCGAAAAAAGCAAATTAGTCCATCAAGTTCATGGATAAATTTGGGCCCGTAGCTAATCAAATACACATGCTTTGTAAACTTTATATCTAGAATCCACCGTTCGCAATTTCCCCAAATTCGCATCTATAAAGTTTGTTTG